GAGGAGAGAGGGAAAGCTCAAAGCCCTAAAAAGCTTCCGTTAATGGCGGTTTCTCGGTTTCTCTTCGCCCGTCGAACGGTATGTTTACCTCCACAGCTCAGTTCGTTTTCCAATGTCTTTGTTTCGTTTTTCTCTTCTGTTCTCGCATCCAGGTTTTTAAGCATTGTTAGATCTGCCAGATTTTGTGATGAATAATCGGGAAACTGAACTGAACCAAGGGTTCTTCGTTTGGATCTTTGATTTTTCTGGATTGTTATTGATTAATGCTGGAAGTGGTTTGGGTAAAATTTTCCCTTCTGAATACGTTGATCGGGCGCTTGCTTGGAACGGGGAATTGTAAGGAAATTTTGATTGCTTGGGGGTTGGGGCAAGAGTATTGAAGATTTAGTGTTCGCTTATTGTTTCGCTATATGCATTTGTTATATATATTCAATTTCTGAACGAGTGGTGTAATGTTTTCATCAAGATTCGAATAAGGAAGAAGAAATTATAATTCATAAATTCTAGCTGAAATTTTGAAGTTAGAGTTGAATTACCAGTCTCCCTAATTTATACACGCTGGCTTAATTATAGATCAAGTATAACTGCCCAGTGCCCACGCAGGCTAAAGGCCTGGGTTCTTGTATGGAGTCTTCTGAGTCAAGTTTTTTAGGAACGAAGTTTTGTGCTATTTCATTTGTATTCAATGATGTGCATCTGTTCAAAGGAAGACCATTTTCTCCTTTCATTTTCATCTTCTTCAGTAGCATCTAAGGCTGTGGCTTCATGTTGCAACTTGCAAATTGAGATTTCATTTTTCTCCCTGTTTCTCCCTTACTTACTCGAAAGTTGTTGAATCTGCTTCATCAAAAGTGTTAGATCCTGATCTTAGTTTATTATTTTTTGCTTCTTCTTGAGAATAATGTTTTTACTGCTTTCTCATCTTTCTTCTGCAGGAAGATTGACCAGCTCTGAAATTGTTCTACTGGATTGCATATTTCTATATCCATAACTTTTGGAGAGAAGGAAGAACAGAAGTTGAATTTTGAATATAAAATCATTAAAAAAAAAACCTTACCATCCTTCAACCTTATGACCTGAGGCCATAGTTTATCACTGGTATAAAAAAAAAAATATCCAAAATTCAGCGACCAGGTTCAGAGGGTGATTTGCCCCAAAGCAGGGAGTTTAGCTCTTTCCCTGTTGCTCGAAGGGTGAATTCCTCCAACACCATGATGATTGAAGATGACATGGAGAATGGCAGTTTGAGGCCTTACTCAGATAGGCTGAGGACTTTTCCCAGCATGCGTAGCAAATCTTATACTCCATTGGTAAGGGCCTTATACAGATCTTTCTGCTTGTTTGTTTTTCTATTGCTTTTATGATGCTTCTAGGTTCTATGACTATCTTTCTCTTTTATTCTTGACTGGTTTCTTTCCCAGTTTTGCTTATTTAGTTTTATATTAGATATGCTTCATTTCTACTATTGAGAAAAGGTTTGACACCAAGTTTTAGTGTTCTGGATTTGGTTTATTTTATAGAGAATTTTAGTTAATTCCTTTTCCATTTCTCTGTTTGTTCATGTACTTTGTTCCTTTCATTTTTTGGGGAATGAACTCTTTTGCAATCTATGGTTTATTTATTGTTTCTGTTTTGCAGATATTCAGAATATTCATGGGAATAAATGTCCGTGTACTCTTTATACTTCTGCTTTTGTGCTTGGGAGCAATCTTCTATGTTGGAGCAAGTACTTCTCCAATCATTGTATTTGTATTCTCAGTTTGCATTATCAGCTTCTTACTGTCTATATATCTTACCAAGTGGGTACTTTCAAAGGATGAGGGGCCTCCGGAAATGGCTCAGGTATGTTCTTGCAGACAAAAGTTTAAACTTCTTTTTATTCTTTACAACTTTTAATCTGGTCTGAACATCTTATACCCTTTCTCAAAATAACAGGCACGGTAAGTAATTTTTCTAGCATCATCTTTGTGCATATCTCACTTGGAGAAGAACACTATGTTATTATTTCCTTCTCAAATATTGTGTTGATGTTTGTTGGCTGAAAGGGGAATTTGGATAGGTATTTTGCTTGTGTCAATGCATAATGTGGTGTTAAAATACGTAGTTTCGCTTTTGAAACAAAAGCTTGTGATGTTATGCTGTTGGACAATGAGCTTGTTGTTTGTAACACTGCCTTCGCAAGTTTATAGGATGCTCAGGCTAGTATGAAGGTATGACCGGCTTTTTTCTGGTTGGAAACTTGGAATGGCTTTGGAGACAGATCCAAGTTTGAGGAAATAACCATAACTTACAGCATTTAACTAGGTGGCAGAAATATCTTATGTCTAACCTAAAATGTGAACTTTACTTTAGGGTTGATATAGGGCAGTTTCTAGGTTGGAGGAAATTGTGCATTCTGTTCTCTAGCTGGTTCTTGAATCCATTATCAATGGAGAAAATTTCTGATGGAGATAGAATATGATTTGTGAAACATAATCATTATTATGTTCAAAATTAATCACCAAGACATTTTCTTTGAGGCTTTTTTAATTAGAGGTGCATTTTGTTTAAAGTTTAAATTGTTAGTGTATAAGTTTATTCATTTTGCATTTAATTATTTATTATTTGTTAAGAATAAAGCAGGTTTTTCTATTTCATCCAATGGATGATGTCTCTCATGTTGTGAATTGGATCTGCAACTGATTAGGTTACAAAGCATTAATTGTCATTGTCTTTAGACTTGCTGCAAGATAAATTTCTTCAACCATTCCTTCTTAATCTTAGAGTTTGATGTCAGGCTTGGTTAGAAATGTCCTAACTACAAACCATTATTACACAAAATGTTACTTAGGAGTATCTTTGCTCTTGCATTTGTTCTTGTTGAAGACAGTAAATATGGCTTCCATCAACTAATTCAGAAAGAAAGCAACTTAAAATGCTCAGGAAACCATGTTTCTAAGATTGACCTAATTTTGCTGAAATGGTAATCTTGTTATTCTTGTCACAGTGCACCATCCAATGTTTGTTGGGTGCTTATTATATGGAATTCTTTTTAGACATTATGAATCATGAAGGAAATGAACCTTATGTATTAAATACGCTTTTTGTACTTGTACTGAGCTTTTATTTTTGTTTCCTAGATATCAGATGCTATACGTGATGGAGCTGAAGGTTTCTTTAGGACTCAGTATGGCACCATCTCCAAGATGGCATTGTTGCTAGCATTGGTGATTCTTAGCATATACTTATTCCGAAGCTCAACACCTCAACAGGAATCATCTGGAGTTGGAAGGTGATGATATATTTAATTGCCATGTTAGAAATATATTCCACATTCATTTTATTTGCTGACAAATGTGTTTGTTCTTTAACCTGGTGCTGCAGGGTTACATCTGCATATATCACTGTTGCAGCATTTCTCCTGGGCGCACTTTGCTCTGGTGTTGCTGGGTATGTTGGAATGTGGGTGTCAGTTCGTGCAAACGTCCGGGTCTCTAGTGCTGCAAGACGGTCTGCAAGAGAGGCCTTGCAGGTAGTGTCCTATTTAAGTCTGCACTTTTATGAGTAATTGCAGATTATGTCTTAATTGGTAAGTATGACATGCAGGTAGCTGTCCGTGCTGGTGGTTTCTCTGCCATTGTTGTTGTTGGTATGGCTGTGATCGGCATAGCTATCCTTTACGCAACATTTTATGTTTGGTTGGGGGTGGATTCGCCTGGTTCAATGAAGGTTACTGACTGTAAGTACCTGGTTCCCTCTTATATAACTGTTTGATATTAAGTTTTTACAAATAAATGAATCTTCCAATGATGTTGTCTGTTCTTATATTAACATGCTGTGAAATAATAGATATGAGTTGCTAGGTTTATTCTTACAATAATTTTGTTGTTGTTGAGTAATAAAAAGGATACTTTCTCGTAATGATAGCTAAGTCATGGATGGAGCTACGTTCCTTGGAATTAGTATATTCTCTCCTATCTTCTGTATTTTTTTCAACATATGGAGATATTTTTTTTTATTAAAATTGCACTAGTTCCTAATAATTAGCTGTTGATAGCCTCCTTTTTTCTTAATGTGTGGAGAATGATGTGGATTGTTGGATGTATAATTTCCATTGAACAAAAATGAAAATCATGGATAAGGCTGGATGTTTGTTCCTTGAACTTTTCATATCTAGTATCTGCCATGGTTTGTTTTTCAACGAGTTGAGATATTCTTGATCATAATTGTACTAAATCTTCCTAGATTACATGGAACATTTATGCATTTCTCTTTTGCCAAATCTAATTGCTTGAATGTTGTGGTTTGTGGGGAGTGGGGATCAAATGGTTGAAAGAACTGTTATCTTTTTTTTTTCCCCCTAGATTATTATAATCTGTTTTTCTTGGAATTCAAGCTCCATGGTATGGGTGGTTGCATTTCTGCAATCTTATATGCATAACTATTTTCAATTCTCATGACATTCCTTGGTTTAATTGCTTTTCAGTGCCTCTTCTTCTTGTTGGATATGGCTTTGGAGCTTCATTTGTTGCCCTCTTTGCTCAGTTGGGTGGTGGGATATATACAAAAGCAGCTGATGTTGGGGCAGACCTTGTTGGAAAAGTGGAGCAGGGAATCCCTGAAGATGATCCCAGGAACCCTGCTGTGATTGCAGATTTGGTACTATAAGTTTAGACTTCTTTGGCTTCTTTTTTTTGGGATCTATGTATAAGTTACTGTTTGTTGTTGAGATTCTAAAGTACGATCTACTTTTCCATGTTCACACAACATACATAACTTATTAAATTTAAAATTTTGTTAGAAATATGAGTTTGTAATTTAGAAATAGAAAAGCTCTTTATCTATGTATTTGGAGGGGGGGCAAACTAAAAAATTATGATTCTGTTTTGCAGTTTATTAATATTTATTAAAAAACTTGGGTAACTCTTGGATAATTTAGCAGAAAACGCATGCTAATTTTAATTTTTTTTTAAATGCAATTCAAGTCACAGTGAGACTAATAGCAGGCAGAATGCAATTTAGTTACTAAGTATTATCAAATATAATTACAAAAAGCAACATTGGAAGAGATCTGACTAGGAATTACTGCAATAATAATTATTCTTTTTTTTTTTCCCTTTACATCAATTTTGTTGGTTATAGTGTCAAACTTAACCACCTTTTTCTTGTGATTTAGGTTGGAGATAATGTGGGTGACTGTGCTGCTCGAGGTGCTGATCTTTTTGAAAGCATTGCAGCAGAGATAATTAGTGCCATGATACTTGGTGGAACAATGGCTCAGCGTTGCAAAATTGAAGGCAAGTGCATGTTCCATTTTTTCTCTAATGTTTGCATATGTTAATATTCTCTGTTATGAATCTTTCATTTGTGTTACACTGATGGTCATAAAGAGTACAATTTCTTTTGAGATCTCACTGAAATTTATGGTAAACTTTGTGAAAGAACTTTGTGATTTGGCCCAACTCCATTTGATAATCTGTAGCTTTACTTAGTGTCTGTAGCTTTTGTGTGTGTTTTTTAGTTTGGTTGTTCAGTTGTTCAGCTAGGTTGCTCAGTTTCTTTTGTGGTGAGTCCTTCTTTCTCATACTTGCAGACCCATCTGGCTTCATCCTGTTCCCTCTTGTTGTGCACTCTTTTGACCTGGTGGTATCATCAGTCGGAATACTCTCAATTCGGAACAGTCGAGACTCCAGTGTCAAAGCACCTATAGAAGATCCAATGACAATTCTTCAGAAAGGATATTCTGTTACAATAGTTTTGGCTGTTCTGGCATTTGGCGGGGTAATATATCATCTTCTGTTCCAACGTCATGTTATCAATCAAGCAGTAGAAGTTTTGAATTTTATTATTTTTCTTTTTCCAAATACTGATAGATTATATTGCTCACATTTTGTGTTATCATTTTCAGTCAACACGGTGGTTGCTCTATACAGAACGAGCACCTTCTGCATGGCTGAATTTTGCCTTATGTGGATTGGTTGGCATTCTGACAGCATATGTTTTTGTCTGTATCACCAAGTATTACACTGACTACAAGCACGAGCCAGTACGTGCATTAGCTCTTTCTAGCTCTACTGGTCATGGGACTAACATAATTGCAGGAATCAGTTTGGGCCTTGAATCCACAGCTCTTCCTGTTCTTGTGATAAGTGTATCAATTGTTTCTGCATTTTGGTTGGGCCACACATCTGGACTGGTGGACGAAACTGGTAATCCAACTGGTGGTTTGTTTGGGACGGCAGTAGCAACAATGGGAATGCTCAGCACTGCTGCCTATATCCTAACAATGGATATGTTTGGCCCTATAGCTGATAATGCTGGTGGAATTGTGGAGATGAGTCAACAGGTAACTTAGTTAACTTCATTGAAGTTTTTGAAGTTTGATTATTTAAAGACAATTCCAAATGTGCATTAACTTAAATTATGCACAAATCTTATTATAAATAAAAAATTTCATTACTCCCTTATGCAGCCAGAAAGTGTTCGAGAGATCACCGATGTTCTTGATGCTGTTGGGAACACCACAAAAGCTACCACCAAAGGTTTTGCCATTGGTTCCGCTGCACTTGCATCTTTTCTCTTGTTTAGTGCATATATGGATGAGGTTGCTGCATTTTCTCATGAACCTTTTAAACAGGTAGGCACTATGGTACTTCTTCCTTATTATTTGGAACATTCTTGATGTTTTCACTGGGTTATTATTCAAAGAGTTGTGTTTCTACACTTAATCAACTTTCAGGTTGACATTGCTATTCCTGAAGTTTTTGTTGGTGGATTGTTAGGCTCCATGCTTATCTTCTTGTTTAGTGCATGGGCCTGTTCTGCAGTTGGTCGAACTGCTCAGGAGGTTGTTAATGAAGTAAGAAGGCAATTTATTGAGAGGCCTGGCATCATGGTGGGTATTAAGTTGCCAACTTATATTATGTGGTTTCTGTACACTTTTTTCCTTTTTTGATAGGCAGTCGTTTACAAATTTGTTGAATCATTTTCCTCACATGTTTGCCACAGGAATACAAGGAGAAACCGGATTATGGTCGATGTGTTGCCATTGTAGCATCTGCATCATTGAGGGAGATGATAAAACCCGGTGCTTTGGCTATTATATCACCTATAGTAGTAGGTATGCCAAATACTCTTTGCTTTAGTTGTGGTCATGGTTTTATTTTTTAACTAGTTTGCTCTGGCTGTCCTTGGTTCATATTCTCCCCCTTAAAGAAGGGTAAACACTGGTAGTTTAAGCCTGGTTGTTATATTCAGTTTGTTTGCTTGATCATGGAGGAGGTCTGATGTCTGACAATAATTTGCAGGCTTTCTATTCAGGATATTGGGACATTATACAGGACAACCTTTACTTGGAGCTAAAGTTGTGGCTGCCCTTCTGATGTTTGCAACAGTTTCTGGTATTTTAATGGCTCTTTTCCTGAACACAGCTGGTGGTGCATGGGATAACGCAAAAAAATTTATAGAGACGGGAGCTCTTGGTGGCAAAGGCAGTGATTGTCATAAAGCAGCAGTCACTGGAGATACGTAAGTCTTCCCCATTTTTCTCCTCTATTCTTTGTTGTATTTGGTAATTGTGTTGGTAACTTTGTTCATTACAATAATGAAGATGAAAATACTGATTTAGGGGAAGGAAGGCAATGGTTTAAAGTCATAAGATGTAGTTTTTGATTGATAAGTCACTATGTTGCTCCAGGGTTTTGGTTAGATTGTAGTTCTGGATTTTCAGTCATGAAAGAGACATACATGAGAAGAATTTTCATTTTTCAGTTGAGACCGTACCTAGACTTTCTCTGAGCTCGTTGCACTAACTCTAGGCATTTGTGGGTTCAAGCGCTTTGGTAAAACCAGCTTAATGTAGATTTCACCTATTTTTCTTGAGTCTAAGAAGGAAACTTGTGCTGCAGTTGAGGGACTTCCCTGTCTTACTTTCTTGAAAGTTGAACTGATTCATATGTTTATCAAAAAGAATCATGTGAATTTTTCTTCCACTTGTCTTGCAGTGTGGGAGACCCGTTCAAAGACACAGCTGGGCCTTCGCTTCACGTGCTCATAAAAATGCTTGCAACAATTACACTTGTTATGGCGCCAGTTTTTCTATGAAGAGGTGATTTGTATCTTTTGCGGTTTCTGCTCGGATGCAGCACCCATGCTACCTTCAAATCCTTAGGTATGCACATATACAGATTAGGTATTTTGGTGAATATCAAATCAAGGGTGCCCGATCAATAGTCTTACTGAATCTTCTTTTTCCTGTATCTGAATAAAAGACATGTTAATGGAGTGAACATTTTAGTGATCTTAACTTACTATCGTTGAGGTATTAACACAATTTCCGAATCAGCTTAAGTTTCTTTAATATAGTTGTATTTAATATTGAGATTAGTACTTATTTATCATATCTTTTAAAATTTTAAAAAAAATAAAATTATGATATTTCAATAAAGTATTGTAAAAAATATTAAAAATAATTTAATTTATTTTTTAAAAATATAATATTTTAATTCTTTAATAAAAATTTATTAAAATACCATAATTTTATAATGAAATTTTTCTTAATTTTTAATAAATAAGATAGGTGGGTACTATTCTGTATAATATGTTAGTTCTCTTAATATTTATTTGGTTAAAAAAAATTATATTCTTTCGATTTTTATTTTTTTGGCAAATATTTTTTTCCGATGCTGCTTGAAATGAAAATTTATTCTCTCCTCTCCCAATAATTAACTTTTGTGCAACAACAAAGAAACCGTACACAAATGTGTCACTCCTGTGAGTGGCAGAACGGACAACTGCATCAGAGAATCCACTTACTGAGAAGCAAACCCAATGCTGTCTTCTACCAAAAAAAAAAACCCAATGCTGTCTCCCATCCTGAGTTTGGTGCAATCCAAATTCTCTTCGAAGTTTTGATTGTCTTTTTTTTTCTTGAAAGTGATAATTACACTAAAAATATTAGTATCTCTTCTTAGGTAAGGGATGGTAAACTTTTAATCTTGGGACTTGAATTGTATATCACCAGGGGTGCACCCACTTTGCTTCTGAAAGAGAAATGTGGCCGCTGGGCTACAGGGGTGAATGGCAAAAAATTTAGCGTTGAGCATTCATGAAGCAATGGCAGACGAGAGACAGCCCAATCATCAAGCTTATAATAGAAAGAAGTTGGCATGAGGTCATATGGATTATGATATTATTATCTTAGGCCTTTGAAAATTGAGGATGGCCTTGACGAAAAAGAGAGAGGATGTAATGTGTTTGGGCTAAATCCATATCAAATAGAGTTGCCCACCCAACCCATCATCAGCCCAATTGGAAAAAAGGGACAAAAAGAAAAAATGCCAAGCAGTCTCCCGTAAAATCGGTTCCCAAATTCGCCTTATCTTGATTCAGAGAATTCAGTCCAAAACCCACCAATTCTAGGGTTTTTCTGCAATTTTTTCAATCAACAGTTGAGAACCCACCTTTCTCACCCAAGAATTCCACCAAAGCCAGTAAATTTCTTTTCCATTTCGTCGATAATTATGGAACTACCGGCGACCCCAAATGCCATTCCTCAAAAAGATGGCAAACCTACAAGCACCCCAAAGAGAAAGGTCCCAACACCACAAGAGCTGATATCCCACTACCAGACTCAGGGCCTGGATTCCCAAGAAGCCTCCGTCAAGGTCATAGAGGATCTTCAGAATGTGCTATTGCGGGTCATCTCCTCCAACAACAAGTCCAAGAAGGACAAACTCATACTCGAGACTTCAAGAAAGATGGACAGCCTTAATGGCAGGCTTGCTGTTGTTGACATGAAGCTCGATTCCAAGCCTGGATATGCCGAGACTTTTGCCATTGGAGTTGCTTCCGGGGCTGCTTTCAATGGCATTGCTGCTGTTTGGCCTCATGTACTTCAGGGTGTAACCCAGATTTGGACTGCTGTAAGGAATGCTACAAAACCATCTTCTACGCCTTGAATTGAACATTTCAGTTATTATTTTCTATTCTCGAATATTTTAATTTGGATACCTTAGCCTCATCTTGGATGTTTTCTGCTTTTACCATTTAGCTGGCTGCTACTTGGCCAAATTGAGAATCAAGTTCGCTAGATTTCTCTAAAAGCGATGTCTTTGATATTTGTTTTTGATATGGCATTAGACACTACCAAAAGCATACAACCTGTAATTGTAGCATTTTAAAGGAGTACAAAACGGAAGTTTTGACAAATCAAGGCCACAGAAGGACAGCAGAGTGGAAGCTTCTCTTTCCAATGGCTCTCCACTTGATTACTTCCCAACCACGATGCTCCTTGTAGGACTCAACCTGCCATCATATGATCATATTTAGAGTTGTTCAAGGACTCATCCTCATTCTTTCTTATTAGCAACTTAAGTTTCAAAACTATTGCATACCGTGTCTGCAACTTCCACTGGTCCAAGTCCAACATTCTTCAACCCTCCAATGACATATATCGCTTCTCCTATAATTAGAGAGCCAAAAGACCCCCTAGGATTGTTCATGGACTCCCCCATCATCCATGAATCAGTGCGAGGTTCATATATCTCTATGGTTGGGACAATTGCAGTTCCATCAAAACCACCCAAAGCATACCTGCAAATACTTTTCATCAGTAAACATGATGACCCCTTCCATTTCAAACAAATCAAGAAAGCAATGTACCGAGCATATCCAGTGGAATTTCATGAAAGATGCTCCATAAAGCAGTTATCCTAAAAATTCATTTGTCAAGAAAACGAAAATGTTAGATTGATAGTACAACTTACAATTTCCCTTCCAGGGTAGCCAATGAATGACATGCCCTTTTCGTGGACATACTCCTAAGTTTCATCCATGAACGCTCTCGAGGATCCAATCTCTCGACTGAACTGTAATTTTAGACCAACCATTTCAGTCATTTAGAACACATAAATAAAATCTTCAAGAGTCTAGTACAGAAATCATAACAGTTTTTGGCTTACAATTAGAACCAAAAAAAAAAAAAAAATCTACAGTCTCAAACATATGACTGACATGAAAACGAGTAAACATATTGAAGATAAGAGATTAGATTACAAAAATTTACTAAAAAGTGATTGGTTAACATATTAAAGTAACACGATCATATATGTAGCAGTAGATTTTATTTATATAAAATCTTTATAACCAGGTACCTGATATTTTGATAGAATGCCAATGTTGTATACAGAAGCCTACGGATATAATTAGGCACATGCAAGCACAAAAATAAAGACATACAATCTGAGACAAACTCTCAATAACTTCACATCACCCAACTATATTGAGAAAAAAAGGAAAAAGGTGAATAAAATGGCATCTTACTTCAAATAATATTTTTCATAGCATCCTCCTGAAACATATAGTATGCCATTGACTTCTGCTACAGCCAGAGCAGATCTCTGAAGAAAAAAAGATTATATAAATATGGCTATGCAATAAATGTTAAGATCATTGTCCTAATTTATATTCACGTGAACGGTGAATCTTGATTTCGTGTTAAAATTTGCCATCTTGTACATTTGACTTTGTCATGTACGTTTGACTTTGTATGTCATGCATATCCTACAAACTACATACAATTAATCCATATGATTCTTTTATTTGTTCATGCAAAAACTCTATACGTGCCACCTTAAGGTAAGATTTGCATCCAAACAATAATTAAAGTATACCTCTTGTAGCATTGATTGAATTTGAATCCACTTTCCAACCTCTGGATCAAACATTTCCACCTCTGAGAAGAGCTCACAAGAATTTCCACCTCCAATAGCTAGAATCCGGTCCTTTAAAGAAAGCAATCCTAAGTTCCCTTTCTTCTGATTTAATGGGGGGAGACTAACCCAATGATTGCCTTTTGGGTTGTATGATTCAACTGCCAACAATAAAGACAGCAGTTACATTACCTTCTTGAATAAGCCATGACTTGCATAAGATAAAAGTGGAAAAGGAACAATCATACCAGTGTCAAGCCATAAATCAGATTCTACACCACCTACAATGTATAACTCGCCATATAGTTTTGTTACTGAGGCATATTTCCGAGTGGGAGTCATTGAGGCAAGGGGTTTTAATTGGTCATAAGAAGAAGAATACAAATCTAAATTGGATAACCATGAATGACCATCAAATCCTCCCACCATACATATTAATGCATCAAGAGTTGGATGAGATTCCTCAACTAAGTGAAACTCCTTTCCTTCTGAATCTTTTGCTTCAACAGGCTTTGCTGAAATTCCAAATTCCAATCTCTTGAACTTGTCTTTCAACTGTTGGATCTCTTTTCTTGATTCAACCTAAGGTGCCACCATGCCAAATTGATTTAGTTCAATTTTTCAGACTTGAGTCTCTTCACTGTGATAAAGAAATTCAGCATATATTTTCCTTCTCTTATTAGCTGGAAGTATTTCCATCTATGAATGTATATCTACTAGATTAGATAAAAGAAGTATTAACAAATCAAAGCATATGATGCTTAATAAATAATGATGTATTATTCTTCAAAGTTGCAGTACTTGGCTAACATGATTTATTGTCATGGAGCTGTAACTTCTCCCCAACATGGTTAATAAACAAGGAATTAGACAAGATATGCACCCAGTTTCAGCAAGTAGAAGTCATGACCCAATGCCTGCTTAAGATTTTGTGATGTCATAAAGCATGGAAAGGTAAAGAGTTGAAAAAGAAATAGCATTACTTGATGAGATAACATACCAGGTCCTGCTCCAATGATTCAATTTTTTGGCTTTGTTTCAAGTGAGAAGACTTCAACCATTCCACTTCAGTTAAAAACTTTGAAAACATGCAAGAATAAATGCAATTAGATAAAGATGAAATTCAAAATAGCAAGATTGAGGGCATCGTACAAGCTTGATTACCTCGGCTACTGTAGTGGAGTGAACCATTGCTTCTTGACTTTTCTGTCTTGCCCCAACAGATAAAGTATCATATGAATTGCAGTGAGGAAAGGCAGTACTTGCTTCAGCAATAAGGGGATAAAGCTCTTCATTACTTGGTTTCAAGCCATCAGCTTTATCATATTCTCTACAATCCACCCAGTTTAAAGGGGCATCAGTACCCGGGCTACTTTCGCTGGAATAATGTGAAGCATCAAAGCACTCACATTCCACATGAAATTGATCTAAATGAAGATTCGTTTCTGGAGCCTGTCCATCAAATTGTACAACTTCCTTTCTTGAATTAGTGCCGTTATCTTTGAAAAGTGCACTCCACTTTTTTGTTGTGGTGGACTCTGCACTGTCTGAAGGAGCCACATCCCAACAATGTGAAGGATCAAAAAACTCCTGTTTCATATTTAACTGATCACAGTCAAGATTTGTATCTGGAGTTTGTTCATCAAATTCTATAACTCTCTTTCTTGTATCATAAGCATTCTGATCTTTGAACAAAGCACTCCACTGTTTCTGCGTAGCCAGGGCAGATGTCTCAGACCTGTTGCCTTCTTGTTTTGTGCAAGGATCTCTAGAAGATTTAAATGAAGTGTTCCAATTTTTCACTTTCTTTGAGTGGGAACTGCTTGCAGTGATTGGTGAAGCTGAAAACAAAGCGATCAAGTTGTTTGTTTGAGTCCTGTCAAGTTCAAACCAAAACAGCCTTGGTTCATGGTAGTTGTTGACAATTATAGGCTTGAACTCATCCTCCAGCAAGGGCCGGCACTGCATCCGCATTTGGATTTTAACCTTAAAATCACAGACAGCAAATATCAATAAATTCCGTCTCAAGACTATAAGCTACAAGCCTAAAAGCTACTCTTTTTCTATCCAACATAAGAAAGAACAAAATGAAATTTTACAAATTAGTATCACCTGAGCAGGAAAAGGAGTATTATCTGAACTATCTTGAGTCCAAGCATTCGGGTTAATTCTCAACTGTCCTCTACTCACTGCCTCAAATATGCCATGAAGCTTCCTATCACTATAGTTGAACAAGAACAAGGGCAAACCCGGTTGTACATTCCTTACATAGGAGAAATGTGAAGCAGGCAATCCTGTTGAGAATTTAAATGACATTTCACAACTCTAGACACAATTGGCACAAATACTTATCTAAAAGTATCAATCTAAAATCATTTGCATTATTTAGACGAGTGAAAAACTAACCAAATAACTGCTTATTTAGACATTCTTCATAGGTTTCATTTTTACATCCGAAGATTACTCCTGCAAGATCACTTTCTCGGAGATTTCTAGCAGATACACTAGAATTAACTGATGCCGACGATTGGTTAGATTTTTCACCCACCGTTATTGTCCGTGTCTTCCTCCCTGCTCCCATCCTGATGTCTGTGAAAAATAAATTGTAGCAATCTTTGATTAATTCTGAGAAAAAAAAAAATTCAAAATTTGTTTAAATGACACACATCTTTTTAAATATGCAGCTCGAAATCCTGCCTGGTTTTGGTTGTAAAGAATTTAGCAACCCTAAATCAACAGAAACTATGAAAATTTTCTTATAATACACACACAAACATAGATCGGAAGGCAAAAAATCGATTATATGGTTTAGATGAAAAGTTAAAATAAACCAAAATATTATAGCCAAATAGGAAATATTCAGTAGTTGTTGCTAAGAAATTAATAAAATTTGCAGTTTAAATCATCACCGGAGCTAGAAAAATGTAAAAATAATCAAGATTTCCAGAAATTAACGAGCGGAAGAAAAATTACTTCACAATTTAGCAAGAATCAGTTCAAAGTTGGCGAGGATCGTTTGATGAAAACTAAGACCATAAGGGAAAGAAAACGAAAAAAAAAAAAAAAAGAGTAAATATCAAACTAGCTCAGCGAGAAAAATGACCTGTTGTACGTAGAGAAAACGAGTTGTTTGAAGGAGTGAGCGCCCTGGAAAGCAACAAAGATTGTATTGGGGAAAATGGCGGTTTAAAGGAGTGTTTGTTTCTCGGGAAAGTTAGGGCAAAAGAGGGGGAAATGGAAATGCAGAGAAATGGTGAGTGATGTTTCCAAAATTTATCCGTAAATGGGAAGGGGGGAGGGAGAGAGACAGGAAAAGGAGGAATGGCGTGAGTCTGAGTATAAACTTCTGAAACTGGAAAATGCAGAGCCCACGTAGCATAGAGCGGGAACCTACCTAGCCAGCCAGCTGGTCTCTGTTTATATTTTTATATTTTTAACTTTTGCCATTTTAAGTAGGATTTATGTATTTTGTACCTTTAAGTTATAGAATAAAAAAAATAATTATTATATAATTATTTTTTATTTTAAAAAATATAAAATTAATTTTTTAATTATAAATATCATATATTAATTTTTTATTTATTTGTTTTAAAATCAAATTTAAAACTTATTTTTTTAATTTAAAATTTTACATCTTTTAATATAATTATTAACAAATAATTATTTTTATTTTGTAACTTAACGATACAATATAGATAAACTTCTTAAAATGTACTCAACTCTACCTTCAAGGTCAAAATTACCATTTTACCATTACTTTTTGGCCTTTTCATAATTTCATGAATGTGAAAAAAAAAAATTGTACAAGTTAGAATTTTTTTAAAGCTCACAATAGGGGAGAATTTTTTTAATTTCTTAATTTTTTTTTGTTTGTATATCATATTATTTGAATTTTAAATTTTTTATTTTTATAAAAATATTATTAAATTAGATTAAATTATATATTAAGATAATATTATTATAATATTATGATATTATAAATTTATAATATTAATTATATTAAAATATAATTAATATTTTACATTTAAAATTTTATATATTATATTATATCTATTTACTTATTTAATAACATATATAAATATAAATAAATAAATTTTTAATTTTATATAATATTATAATTATAATAATATCACATTATATAATATAAACTTTTATATAAATAACAAACCGAGGCAACTATCTCCAATTAATAATTTTTATTAAAAAAATGATTTATTTTAAATTTTATATTATATCATATTAATTATTAAATAAAAATAATTTTTTAATATTAAAAATATTTTTATTTAGTAATTTAATATAATTTGAATAATAAAATAAAATAATAATTTTTATTCTACATTTTATTACCGTCGAAAGCAACGGACTCACGTGGAAATGTAAGTGAAAAAAAAAATCGTACCTTTTTTTTTTTTTTTAAATCGTAATACTCTTTTCAGTTTGTAATCCTTCGAGAAAAAAGGTTGGAAAATGAAGAACCATCACATCACGTTAAAGAGAAAGAATAACACTGTCAGAATAAATTTTGTTTAGCTGAAAGGGTGTTGGCATTGCCGCCATATAAAATGACAAAAACACATTAATTTTTTATTTTTATTTTTTTAAATAGTGTTAAAAATTGTAATTTATTAATTAATTTTAATTTATTAATTATTAATAAATATTAATTATTTTATTAATTATTAATTCATAGTTATACTTTTTTATTTTAAAATAATTATATTTTTATTTTTTTTAAATTAAAATTTTAAAAATAATATTTTACCTTTTTTGTCATCTAAACATTTTTAAAACTTTTTCTATAAAAAATAGAAAAAAATACGAAGGAGAGGATTTTATTTTATTTTTCCTTTCATTCTTTTGCTTATTTCGAATCAAATAAAGGATAAACCATAAATAAATAAGAATGAAAGGAGTAGTTAACCACAATTTTTTAAATTAAACCCGTAGCTAAAGTCAGTTATTTGTATTGGTAATAAAAAATATTATAACTATAATATTATATTATATTACAAAATTATAATATATTATATTATATAATTAATTTTTATTTAATAATTTATTCATAATATTATATATAATTTATATTATATTATACTTATTTAATACTATATTATAATTACAAACTCATAATTTTATATTATTTTATACCTATAACATTACTATAGTAAAAATAAATAGTTTTCTCGTCACTACTCACTGCTTTCAAATAAAAACCCACAAATGTGCCTTTTATCGACATCCTAATCACCAAAAAAAAGTAAACTTAATAAATATGTTAAGTTAAAATACAGTGATATAGAGATAATTTTTTTTATAAATTTTTTTATATTATCAAATGAGTAAATTACATTTAATATTATGTGTTGTAAATGAATAAAAAAATTTAATTATTTAAATAATATGTAAAATTATACTAAAAATTAATAAAAATTTATTCATAAATCATTTTCCTTAATTAAATCAAGCACTGATGAATCGTTCTCAAATAAAATGAGTCATGTTGTAAAAAGGTAAAATGAGTTAAATATTATCAATAATTTACTAAAGTTATTAAACCCATAATCTCTCATTTCACCCACAATTTAGCTTAGCTAAGCTAAAACGGATTTTAAGATGAAAAATTTTACTCATAATATATTTTAAACAGACGAATTGAATCATGATAGCAATGAGGGCAACTTTTGCCACCCTTAAAATGGAGAACAATAAATTCTCTCTATCATAGTATTTTTGTACCTAAAGATGTCATATTATAGTATTTTTTTATTTTTTTATTTTTAATAATTAAAATTTATAATAATTTTTTAGGTAAAAAAATATTTATATTTAAAAAATATATATTTATTAAGAGTGATGATTACCTTTAATTAAAAAAAAAAAAGAATGATTGGGTTGGTTGGGGT